AACAGTAATGGTAAGAATTCGTTGAAGACTATGTGCTGCATTTCAGCGCCCACAACACGTCGAGCTTCTTGGTAAAGAATCTCGTCATTCCATCCTGGGTTGTAATAACCCAACAATCTGGCTACTCTGTTATGTTCTCTCATCCAAATGGTGTGGAGAAGAGCTAAGTTAATTTGCTCGTTAACACGCTCATCACCTGTTCAATGTCGTTTGTAGATATCAAAATACATATATTTTGATTAATTTCTTAGCAACAACAACAGGGATAAGCTTATATGCAAACTTATAGTCGTTTAATAAAACAGGCCTGCGATGGTTTTGTTTTACTGTCTTGAAATGTTTACATGTTCCACGGTAATTTCTGTACGCTAAATCCGAAAATGATATCAATTTTTCTCCATCACGTACAGATTTCTCACAAAACGTCATACGTTCTTTTACATAAGTGAATCATTTTCATTGAAATTGGGTCACATTTTTGTTATGCTTAAAATGTTGATAACCACTGGCTATAGATTTCTCTAAACCAATCGCGACGTGAGAGTCTTATCGATCATTCTAGAACCCACGAGAAACACAGCGCTAGTATATAAACAGTTAACAGGCCGCATGACAATAGTATTTGTTTGTGTGTGTGCACTTTCTCCCCAATTTGTAATGTAAACGTAATACACCTTCTATTTAGATAACTTATTGTATTATACTTAGTTTAATTTTCACTCATCATGAAGTATGTATATTGTTTGAGCGATAGTTTAGCATAATATACTTGAATAAGTAAAGCAGGCTGACTTTATAAATAAATATTAAATTATTCTTTGTCATATAGATTTATTATTCAGACAATTACAAATACACTGCCTAACACTAGGTCACATTCTCATATCACTAACCCCTTGTTAAATGTTAACTGTTAGAATACAATACAAAAAATTATCTGTCTTTATGTAATATGCTTAATACTTTACGTGTTACAACACCTTGGTTCATTCATTAACAATTACATCACATAGCGACAGATATATGTTGCAATAGCGCTAGAAATGTTAATTGTTACAACAAATAAATTATAGAAACTTTAACTGCAGATACGTTCGGTATAATAATAATACCTTGCTTTTACACATGTTAACTGTTACAAACCGTAACTCTACAAACATTAAATGTACTTGAATGGCGTTGTTAATAGACTGCATCTATATAGGAAGTTTTGGACAACATATCGAGATGCTAGAACAGATATTTATTAGGTTCATAACAACAACTTTCAAGTATAACTTCCTTTGTGTAAACTTTATCTCAAGCAAGAATATTAACTGTTACGACATTTTAATTTTTTAAACGTTAACTGTTACAAAATCTTAATTCTATACACGTTAACTGTTACAAAATCTTAATTCTATAAACGTTAACTATTACAGAGGCTGTTTACGTTGTACTAAAACGATTTTGGAGGCTCAACATGTCATTAGAGTTTATTTTGCTGCGTTCAGTCATGCTATATCTGTCAACCATGAATCTTGAAAATAACCCTGCAGCGCAGTTTACACTGCAAAAAAGTCCCCGTTGTCAGGCTGTCATATACAAATAAAATATACAAACTCCTCTCCGTTGATTTTTCCTCTGCCCCCAGTAGCACAGCGGCATGTCTGCGGACTTACAATGCTAGAATCGGGGTTTCAATACCCGTGGTGGGAAGAGCCCAGATAGCCCATTGTATGACTTTGTGCTTAACTTAAAAACAAACAAACGAGACTTTCCTCAATTTATCTATGTACATTTTATTTGTCCAATAATTTAAAACAATTGTATTGCCCCGAATTTTGAATATGTTTATTATTTATAAACACTTATATATTACTCAAAACAATGTGCCAAAATAAATGTTTCGAAACTGATTAATATCATTATCATGTGTGATTATAGGCGACAGTACGGAGAAAATAGCATCCGAAACTATACAACTTATAAGTTTAAGTTACTTGTTCCTCCTGAAAGCAATAAAACAAAGAGAAAGGTTTATTTGCTTGTTTTTTGAATTTCGCGCAAAGCTACACGAGGGCTATATGCGCTAGCCGTCCCTAATTTAGCAGAGTAAGACGAGAGGGAAGGCAGCTAGTCATCAACACCCACCGCCAACTCTTGGGCTACTGTTTTACCAACGAATAATGGGATTGACCATCACTTTGTAACGCCCCCACGACGGAAAGGGCGAGCATGTTTAGTGTGACGGGGATTCGAACCCGCGACCCTCAGATTGCGAGTCGAGCGCTCTGACAACCTGGCCATGCCGGACCAACAAAGAGAAAGGAAACCGTTTTACATCAAAAAGTAATTACACATTTAGTATGAAAACTTTAAACTCTTTTAGGTGTAATGTGTTCATTATTTATTTAAATAATTGCTTTAATTTAATATTGCGTGTAATAGTATTTGCTGATAAATAAAAGTTATTTAGACAGTGCAATATTTCAAATTATTGTAATTTAATGAATATATTTTACTTAATCATAGTTAAAGCTAGAGTTCTTCATTAGTTTGGAAGGGCTTATTTTCTCTGTTTTTTTATAGTTTTCACACTAAAAAATCTTTTGATAGTTTAGAGAAAATTTGTTTGTTTGCTTGAAGTTAAGTACAAAGCTACACAATGGGCTATCTGTGCTCTGCTCATCGCGGGTACTGAAACCCAGTTTCTAGCATTGAAAGTCCGCAGACATACCGTTGTGCAACTTGGGGCATTTACAGACATATCAAATCGTTTTAAAATCGATATTATTGAAATGGTTATTCTGGATTTAAATCAGGGACAAGTTCTGTGTTGATTAAGATCGGTAATTTAATGCTTAATTCAGAAAAATTAAATGAAGTATACCTGCTTTAAAACAGAAATATTTGCTGCTGTTGTTGTTAGGTATTTCACATTCCTCGTCTGAGGCTGGGGGTAAGAGTTCAGTATTTCCGGTCTCTGATATACTCAACAGTCCTGTCGAGAAAAAAAAAAGCTGTAATATATTACTATGTATTAACGTAACTTTAAAATGACGATCGTGTTAACTAGATCGAATGTCAAACCCTCCTAACGAGTTTTAAATTAGAGAAGTAATTTTGAAATATTGGTATTTTAGTAAACTATGTAGAAGATGCATACACACACTCATTAATATAATGGTATCCATTTGCACTAGTTTTACATTAAGTATGTATGCTTATTTATTTTACTTCTATTCTATTAAATAACGCTATTTGGAAATAAAACTCTGAAACTTATTGCTTTAGGCGAAATTATTATTATATTTGATGTTAACATATACAACACCATAAAAATATCATATATTAATTGTTTGGAGAATTGTGTTGTATCGTTAGTAAGTTTGTAAGCTAAAAGAATAAAATTGCGTGAAGTTTAAAACCCAAATTGTGCAGGAAATTTTGCCTTATCCATAATAGTTTTATCCAGAACACAAGTTTTCGAGTATTCCACGAACCATACCATTGGAATCGATTAAGATCAACAAATCAAATCACAGGAAATAAAATTATCTAGTTTCTTTCCTCATTTTTATACTATCGATTACATTTTTACAAAAGGCATTTGTTTAAAGTACCGTTAATTCCTCTTCTAAGTTCTTTCCCCTGTTCTTCTGTAGATCCGTAGATGTTAGAAGCATCAATAAAAGATGTTACTTGATTTAGTTGTTCACGTGGACCTGAAAGAAAAAGCATTGCTTTGCTGGTCAAATGTTTAGTAAACATAGCAAATAGAAAAAGCGTCTCTGAGTAACTTTGTGATCCTAAATGCTTTATCTTTGTGTGTTTTCACCCAAATATTTAAAAGCACAGTTGAAAAATAACACAGTAAATTACGTCTTCCAGTTAATATTACGACTTCATGTTGTTTCCGAAGAGTGAAAATGGGTGTACATGATGTTGAGTTTCTTACCCAAGGTACAGCCTGGACGTGGTGCTGGAGCTGATCTCACAAATTCCATGCACGTTTCACCGAACTGTGAAAAGAAGGGGTCATTCTTGGGAATGACAATTTCGAAGCAAGCTGGATGATGGAGCTCAGGGTTCTTCAGTATTTCGGGTTTGCAGCACACTATACCAGTACCGTTGCTACCTAATAGATAAAAATTATATAGTAATAGTAACTTGCATGCTGTTTTTTATAGCTTCATATTTTGTTTTATTTAATATATAAAAACAAAGAACTTTTTGAAGTAATCCTAAGTTAACGACTTTGGTCTCTTTGCTATCGATACGTTTAACTGTGTGTATTTAAACACTTTAGAAGACAGTTTTTTTCAACATATCATCAGTTACATATAAAATATTGCACTGTTAGTATAACCTTTACTTGTTCGTAAACAAGCTCTGAGAAATATGAGGTTTCCGCTTACCGATTTGTGATAAAAACATAATTTACTCCATAGAAATATATATGTATCTTTAGCCTAGCTTTAATGTTATTCATTTGTTTACATTATAGCTCATTTTTCAATTTTGCTGAGATTTCTATCTAATTTTATTTACTTACCTCTTGTTACGCTTGTTTGGGACAAGTCGTGATCAAGAAACTGTGCAAATTGCATAATTAGTAACGTTAAGTATTTGTCAGGAACGTTCACGTCTGGTGATATTGCAACAGAAACAGCTCGTGCACTAGGTAGAGAGCCACAGTCAGTAGCTATTCGTGGTTTTTCAATTCCTGTCAATATTTATTGGTTGATTTATATTGTGTCATACGCATTTCACAAGCAAATAAATCCAGAATATAAAGTACAGATATGGAACTGTATAATTATCCTAGAAGGAAAAGTGTCTGCAGAAGTAGAGCCAAGGTGTAGAAAGATATAACCTACCACATATACCCTAATTGTGTGAGAATATATGAATATACCTTTTTATATATCTAGATTACAATTTTTCACAGTTTGGCGGCTTTTTTACGGTTGGGGTTTTGTGCCAATAAGCCCGGCATAGATATTTAGTAAATATGACTCTGTTGCCTCTAAAGTTGATATTCATCTAGGTTGTCTCTGTATTATTATTAATGTATTGGATCATCGGTTCACTTTCTGAGGTTATCGACTTGACAGCCACGTGGGAATACAAAACTATCCCTACCAATGTTTCTCTGAATGTGATTGGCTTGTGCGGAGACTTTAAAATAAAGTTTTCACCTGTATTTCAAAGCCCTAACACGAACTGGGAACGTTATCTGCAGTACATTGTTTTTGTCTTTGTATATTTGTGACATGCTGGAGTTTTAACTTCCATTATTGCTATATTTTGTTGCTTTGTTGTTAATATTTAACTTGCTTGTTTTTGTCTCTTGTGGATTTTCGTTTTATTTTGCAGATTTGCTTCAGTGACCTAAGAAAAATACCAAAATCCTCGAATTCTAGAACCTTATGTAATCGCACAAGTTGTCAGGAATACCACAACTGCGAGCCTCGTATGTTGATTAAAATATAATTCAAATTTGAAATTATAGACCAGTCACCTGCTCCTATGAGTTGTAAAAAGGGGGAGAGAAGAGAGTGATACGTAAATGTTATACCATGAAGTGAGTGCTTCAACTATCTAGTTATATCATAATTAACATGATTAGGTAATTATATACTACTAAATTAAGAAATTGAATAAAAATGGCACTACAACTTCAGTAATGTAACATAGTATTCAGCCTCCTCCCTGACTAGCATGCTGTTAAAATAGCTGATGATGAATTGCATCAACATTATCACAATAAATTTTCTTTCTGCTACTTAGTTTTATATGAATGAAAAAATTTAGAAACAATAATACCAGAAAACTATGTAAAAAGATTATCGCAGTAAATAATCTTACGTTACAGGTTAATTTAAGTATACCACTCTATTGAGATCCTGCCACGTTTAAACGTAATGTTAAGTATGTAGCTTTTAACCTTTTACCACCATTCTCACTGTAAAGGTAGTAATATAATTGTATTTGTCTGTACAATATAGATGTTAATGTAAATTCTCGATTAATACTGGTTTTCAGTTGTTTATTTTTTAGTTTAGAAGTTGAAGTACCAGTCCTGTGTCCGGGTTATGAACTTTAGAAAATGTGGGGGTGGCTGCTATGATAAATAATACAAAAATCCTAACTTTCACACAGTATTATAATATATTATTAAAGTATTCATTATTACCTCACCAAAAGTTTGTTTATAAGCTTTAAGAACTCACTATTTATATACTTAAAACATGGTATACACTGTACGATGGTCAGGGTGACTTTGTACGAAGAGGTAGCGGCTAAAGTAGTGGCGGGTAGGGGTGCTTTCTGTTACCAGCTTTAGACACCCAGCTTTTAATGTTCTTTCACACTGTTTCACGTAATTATTAATTGATGGTCATTGGCCGCAGAAGTATCTTACAGGATCAAGTTGTAAGGTCACGAGTCAATCTAGGAAGTGGGTAGAACTCAAGCAACGGCTCTTCATATCAGCGTTATGGTGCTATGTTGTAGTATAAATTTCATCTGAAAGTTGCGGGTTCGAATCTCTGTCACCGAACATGCTCGCCTTTTCACCCATGGGGCGATATAATGTCCCGGTCTATTCGTTGATAAAAGAGTAACCCAAAAGTTGGCGGTGGCTGATGTTGACGAAATTCAAAACAAACTAAACCTAAGTGAGCTGGACTCAAGCAGATACAGGATGATTATAAAGAACGTACCATATCTTACCCAATGTGTGACATAGAAAGTGAAATTGTGGCACGGCGGTATGTCTGCGGACTTACAACACTAGAAACCGGGTTTCGATACCCGTGGTAGGCAAAGCACAGATAGTCCATTTTGTAGCTTTGTGCATAACTTCAAACAAACAAATTTTATTCACAGTTTATTTATTTTGAAGGTATTAATTGTTGTATTGTATACGATTATATTTTCGTTGTTTGATTATTTTAGATTAAGGCACAACATCTACTTCTGTGTTGCGATATCAAAAGGATATATACAGTCTTTTGAAGTAAGTTTTAAGCAATAATAATAACCTGCTTTTGTTAAATCGATCTACAAAAAAAAGGACAATAACAAAATGATCCATTTGTTCTATAAAATTATACATTTTATAATGTATTATATTAAAGAACCAAATCATCAACCTTTCAAATGAACTTTAATATTTTTATCCGTGGATGGGAGGCTCACAGAACAACTCTGAGTTTGTTTGTTTTCTCTTCTTTTTTTTTCAAGCACAAACGGTTAGCTCGTAGCTCCGTCAACTTTTGACCAATCTGAATTCTAATTACAGTTTTCGAATCAGGAGGTCACACCCTTTCGATTGATCTATTTGATCACGCCAAAAGTCTCATACATTAATTTATTCTAATCCTGCCTGAAAGAATATCAATTTGAGGGTAGGCCAGTAGAGACCAGGTGCGTACGCGCGCCCCACGCTTGGTATTGCTGACGCACAAAAATATAGCTATAAAGGGAGGAAAATTGTCTATTGTTTCTATTTATCATGGTTATCTCGCAGGACTTGGCAAATTTATCAATACACCAGTATGATTTGTGTTTGTTTGTTTCACCTCACCGTTATTAACTACCGTCTCTTATGAGATATCATTACATCATATTCTCAGACGCTGTCTTAGTGAACTTGACAATATTTTCACTTTATTGGCTAAGAATACTTACCATCAGCATATTGCGGTTGCCCCAGTATAGATTCTTTGAACTTACCTGCAAAATATTAAGTACATATTTTTATGCAAACAAACGGTTTCTCTAGTAAAACAGAACAGTTTTAAAATATAATTTATCGCAAATTACATCATGTTTAAAAATAATATAAAACTAACTCATTTCCATTTCTTATTGATGATTTGGTCCCATCTTATGAAACATGCGTTAAGTAGATATTATAAATATTATAGTCACACACTCAAAGACACGTACGTAAAGACATACACATGTTTGAAAAAAACGCTATATTCAGTGATAGTCTTATAAATTACGCTATGTCACGTGCAATATTTATATATATATTTTTGGATCATTGAATTTTCTATTCGTGAAATATTTTGTTGTTCCAGCCACCCCACCATGGTCATCGATCAGCTAATTTCGGACTTGCCGAACTCACTTTGAAGGATACCGCGATGAGCTATGTTTGTAGACCCGTAAAGCCTTGTACATTAACAAAATATCGCTCCCTAGATGGCAGCTGTAACAACTTACTGAATCCCAGCTGGGGCAAGTCATTTACTGCTTTTGTTCGATGGTTAAAAATATGCGTGTAAATTTGTTTAAATCTATTTTCACATAATTTTGAAGTCTTATGACGATGATAATACTTATTTACTATTTTAAAGAAGATTTGTTGAAAGTAACTGTTACAGTGTCCAAAAATACAGCATGGCCAGGTAGTTAGGGCGCTCGACTCGCAATCTGAAGGTTGCGGGTTCGAATCCCCGTCACACCAAACATGCTCGCCCTTTCAGCCGTGGGGGCGTTATAATGTAACCGTCAATCCCACTATTTGTTAGTAAAAGAGTAGCCAAAGAGTTGGCGTTGGGTGGTGATAACTTGTCTTACACTGCTAAATTAGGGACGGCTAGCCCTCGTGTAGCTTTGCGCAAAATTAAAAAAAAACTTACAGTTTGGCTATTTCCAGAGATACTCTCAAACCAATGAATCCATCACGTGCTAATGACTGGGCGAAAGCGCTCTTTCCAAAAAATGATTGATGCAGGAATGCAGAAGTATTTCTCTGTGTGACCAAACCTAAATAAAGAAACAACATTTTGCTCGCTTCAAACAAACAAGCAAAAGTTTGATATGATTTTGCAATATCAAAACAGTCTGGTTCCATGAAAAACCCGCTGTAAGGTGCCGTGATCTTAAAACGCAGATGATTAGTTAAGAACAAGTATAGCTGAACTGAATTTTTGAAAAAACTATTTACTACCCAAAAAGTATTACCGCCTAGAAACTTGTAGGTAGTGTAGATCAGGAGGATTTATAGTCGTGAAACCTATTGTTACGACAGATACGTAACACTATATATTTCTAGATACCGTCAACTGAACAAAATCCTAAAAAAAGATTCAATGCATAAGCAGACTAATATGGTAAATATTTTTGCATTTTAAATTATTTCCAATGTTTTGTATATATTTTAGCATTTTCGTGGAATTGCCGCTGTTTTTTAAATTTTTGATCACCTTGTGAGGATGACATTCAAAATGGCTGCTTCCAAGTGGTAAAGATATACGTGTTTGTAAACTTTCTGCGGTATCCTTGTAAGTATGATAGCCTTAATGGTTTAATTGCATTCAACGTGTTGTTATGGTTGTTATGGGGCTACTTTGAATTGGGTTAGGAGCTTTGTGAAACTACATCATAAGCAACTGACAACTCTATTGTGTCAAAACATCAAAATCAAGAGTATCGGCAGCTTATGTAAGACAGTTCTTCAAAAACATAGAGCAGACGATTCAAAACGAGGATGGAACAAAGGTCCCACAAGAGGATATATACAACTATGATGAAACCAACCTTTTGGACAACACTGGGACAAAAAAAAGTGTATTCAAGAGAGGAGTGAAGTGCCCAGAGATAATAAGAGACAGTACCAAAGCAGCAATATCCATTATGTTCTGTGGTTCTACTACCAGAGATATGATCCCAAGTTACGTGGTCTAAAAGCATATGGTACACTTGAATGGAAGTTACCCCCCCCCCCATGTACCAGGTACAACAGAAGCAAAAGTGGAAGGTTCGATGCAGTCTGTTTTACAGACTAGTTTAAATCTGTCTTAGTCCCTCATGTTAAACACCAACAAGATCATAGATTAAAACTGTCTTCGTCCCTCATGTTAAACACCAACAAGGTCATAGTTTAAAACTGTCTTCGTCCCTCATGTTAAGCCCCATCAAGGTCATAGTTTAAAGCTGTCTTTGTCCTTCATCTTAAACACCAACAAGGTCATAGTTTAAAACTGTCTTCGTCCTTCATGTTAAACACCAACAAGGTCATAGTTTAAACTAGTCTTCGTCCCTCATGTTAAGCCCCATCAAGGTTCATAGTTT